GCTGGGGCACGGGCGATGGGCACGGGGGGCAGGGCGGCGGCACGCGGGCCGGCGGGGAGGGCGACGGGCACGGCGGGGCCGGCGAGTGCCTCTGTCCTGCAAGAGAGCGGGCGGGGAGGCGGGACCGAGGTGCGAAGGGAGAAGTCAGAAGTGGTGATGGGTCCGCGGCCGCCCCGGAGGGACCCACAGCCTCGGCTCCTCTCCACAAGCGAAGAGGCGAAGGTGACGCCCGCCCGGGTCTCGGGATGGTTGCCACAGCGACACCCCCCACCCCACCCCCACCCCCGGTCTCAGCCCACCAGAGCTCACCTCCGCTCCTGGCCTGCTCCTGTAGCAAGGTCCTCAGGATCCTGCCCTGCAGGGAACTCAGCTCCCGCAGGCGACCCAGCTCCTCCGTCAGCTCCGTGTAGGCCAGCGCCAAGTTCACTCTGAGGTGGGAGGGCAGGGAGAGGACAGAGGTGAATGAGGCTGTCTGTCCCAGCGTGGAGGAGGAACCAGTCCAGCCCTGTATCCCACGTTCCCAGCCCAAATGCAGGATCTTCTCAGCTTTCAAGTCCACCATGCCTGTAATCCCAGCACTCGGGAAGCTGAGGCAGGAGATCACTGCAAACTCAAGACCAACCTGGACTGCATAGTAAGTTGAAGGCCAGCCTGAACTACGTAGCAAGACCCTGCCTCAAAAATAGGTCTCCCAGGGGCTGGTGCTTTAGCTCAGTGGCGCCGCACCTCCCTTGCAAGCACAAGGTCGTGAGTTCGATCCGTGGTACCAAAATAAATAAATAAATAAACAAATAAATAAATAAATAGGCCTTCCTCAAATACCACCTCTTCCACGCATCCTCCATCTGCCTCCCGAGAACCAATCTCTGGCCAGGGCAGTGGTTTCTAGCCGGAGGCCCACGATAGGGGAGCAGAGGGATTCCCAGGGGCCCCTGCACCCTTGGATGCACTGAGTGTTGTCTGTGGCGGGGACACAGCTCCTGCAGGTATGAGTTCACATACCCCGAGTCTGTGCAGAGCCCGTGAAGACAAAACAGGTTCGTTTATCCGACAGCTGCACCGAATTTACAGTTGAGTTTGTCACTGTGAGTTTTCCTGGCACGCTGTGGAGACAGGCTCCTGGCTGGCAGAAGTGCCAAGTGATAAACCTGACCCTGAGTTGGCTGTGCCAGGCTCTTGCCTCCACCCCAAGGCTGCCTCTGGCCTGGTTTCATCCTCACATCTCACAGGACCCCTGCTGTATGACTCCAGAGAGCAGGTCCACTGGGGTCTTGGAGAGCTGCTCTGTGCCAAACACCTGCAGGGCTGCCACCCACACTACCTCCCGAAGGCTGCCTGCTCTGGAACTGTGCTGCAAGTTCCTGGAAGGCAGAGTTAAAGTGCTGTGCTAATGGCCAGCGCCCATGCAGGTCAGCAGAGGGGCCATGAGCAGAGCCATTTCACTTCCTTTCTCCCTCCTTCCCTTCCTCAGGTCTTCCTGCTCAGGTCTCCCAGGCCCCCACCCTCCCAGGGCTGGAATGGGTTTGATTCAGCAAGGGACCTCACCATGTCCTTTCTCCTGGGGCGGCTCTGGGTCCAGAGCTCGCGCCAGCACTGCTCACCCCCCACCCCCAGCCTCTGCCTGTCCTCAGGCCCTGCTGCCTTCTCCTCTGTGCCGGGCTTGGACAGAGCCTAGGACCTCCCTGAAGGCAGGGGTTCTGGCTTCCTTGGGTCTCCCCAACTCCAGAAAGGACTCTGGAACTTCGGAAGTCAGAGCTGGAGGGCAGTAGCAGATGTCACCCCAGGTAGATCCCTTCCCAAGGGCGTCCTGCCCCAGGGCGGAGGTCAGAGTGCAATCCAAGTTCTCCAGCCCCTAGACCCTGTCCCCTCCTACAGCTAAGGATGCGTGGAGGGAGCGGGGGGGGGGGGAGGCGTGTGGTGAGAGGAGTGTGCATGTATGTGTGCATGTGTGTGCACACGTGTGGGACCCTGCAGGAGAGGAGGGGCACAGTGAGGCTAGGGCTTAGGGGGCTGAAGAAGCTGTGTGGAGGGGCAGGTGACGACCCCACCCCTGGCTGGCACTCTTACCAATCCTGGGGCAGTGCCAGAGGGCGGGGGAGAAGCGCCCCTCCACTCACTCCCACAGGGGCCTGGGGGACCAGCTACCTCTCCGTGAGGCAGCCCTCGTAGGACCACCAACTGCGGGGGCCCATGTTTCCTCTGTCCTATGCACCCTCACACTCATGGGTCTGTGGGCGTCGCCTGGTGAGACTGGGAGATCCTGGTGTGTCCCACATCAAACTGGGGACTCCCCAGGAAAGCCTCCCCCTTCCGACCAAGGGCAATCTGAGGGCAGGACCTGGGGGGCTTCCCGAGGGCAGGGTCAGGGGATGGACGGAGGGGACTCTGGGCAGGGCACGGATGGATGTCACCCCCCCCCCACAGCCCCAGCCACCGCTGCTCCTGTCTGCCTTCCGGGCTGTATCTCAGGTGACAGATACAGGTCATCGCCTTCACACTGTGTCTCAAGATCTCACCTGCCACTAGGAGTTTGCAGGCCCCAGCTTTCCCTGTGTGCTCCCCCGCTCAGGAGCCGCCCAGTTTCTCCCTGCAGTGCAGCGGAAATGGGAAAAAGGAGCCCCAGCCAGGTGCCTCTCTCCAGCAGATGCCGCCCCCAAAGCCCCAGGTCGCCCGCATGGAGACTCGTGAGGCCCACGTGAGGGTGCAGAGACCTGACCTCCTCCTGTGACCTGACCTCCTGTGACCTGCCCCCTTCTCAAGGGGGGGATACGCGAAGGACACACATGACTCACAGAAAACACAGCCAAGTCAGTGGAAAAAACTTCAACTCCACACCACACACGTGCCTATGTGCACCTCCATACTCCACTTCCTGGCCTCCTGACCCACACCTGAGTGCTGGCTGGCTTTTTCTGCCATCTAACTCGGAACAGAGGGTCTGGGGAGCGGCAGCAGATGCCACTCAGGTGATCTATGAGAGCACAAGCCCGAAATGCTGTCACAGTCATCACGGCAATTTTACAGATGAGGAAACTGAGGCACACAGGCTGAGTCGCTCAACCCAAGTCCTGAAGCCCAGAGCGGCTGAGCTATGACTGCAGCTCCGGCCTGCTCTATGCACCAGGAGAGGGTGGAGAGGCCTGCCTTGCCTGGGGAGGGGAAGGCGCCAGAGTACTGTGTAGAAGTGGACATCAGAGCCACTGAGAGCGGGCTCAAGGTCAGCACGGTGGAGGCTCGGAGAAGGATTCAAACTCTTGGCACCTCAGCCCGAGTGCAGGCAGCCAGAGTGTGGTGGAGCTGGCAGGAAGGAGGGTACCCTGGCTGCCAGTCATCCCTCCCTCCCTGACTTAGCCTTCCATTCATTCTTTCAGAGAACGAATAGAACAATCATCTTTGCCTTTACCGATGAAGCAACTGAGGTCAGGAAGGTTAGAGACCTCAGAGCCTCCTCTGGGCTGCTCTCTGCTGCAAGCCAGCTGCTGGGACTGGTGAGGATGTGGCGGGGTCAGGGGTCAGGATCAGGCCTCCAGAGGGGCTGAGGTCAGGGTGTAAAGCGGGGTCCTCCCTGAGACGTGGCATGGGGCTGGCAGTTCATCCATGACTGAGATGCTGGGCAGGGGCGGGGTCAGGTTTCAGGGCAGGGATGGAGTTAGGGATGGACTGGGGTGAGGATGACAGCTTCCCAGCTGCCCGGAATCATGGTTTGTTTCAGAGCTGCACGGAAAGAGGATCCAGCATTCCCATCTTTGCCCACAGCTGCCCCCCACCCCCAGCTGCCCCAGCCGCCTCACCCCAAGGGGGAACTTGGGGGTCAAACTTTCCACCACCCACAGGCACACCCAGCATCATCAGCCTTCCCGCCCGCCCGACCCTCAGGGAGGGGACCACAGGCACCCGGCCGTGGAGCGAGCGGACTTGAGGTTGCGGGCTGGGGAAGAGGAAGTCGCTTTGCAACAAGTCAGTGCGCCTCCACTTCCTTTGCGCCTTGAGTCCTCGGCTCCCCTCCGCCAGCTAAGAGTTGAGGTCCCCAGAGTTGGCGCCTCCTGCCAGCCTGTGCTGGGCTTCCAGCAGAGCTGGGTGCCCACGGGTCTAGAAGCCTCCCTGGGCTCATGGTGGGGCATGGGAACCAGGCCCCGGGCTGTCTAGGCTCATACTAGTTGCCCACTGAAATTAGTAATGGTAATAATACCCCTTTCACTTTCAAAGTGATCCGATTTGCTCAACAAATCACATGCTCACCCCTCCAAGAAGAGCCTCCTACCTGCAGGAGACCCTGGCGGCCGGGAAAACACCACGAAGTCCCTCTCCCCACCTGCTTGGACCCTGCTGTACAGATAAAGAATCCCCGGGAGACTTGGGAGACTGTGGGGAGAGGAGGAAGCTGGGTTTGAGACTGATTGGAGACACCAGCTTCAGACATGGTTTAAGGAGGGGAGGGCTGCACATGGTGGCACATGCCTGTCATCCCAGCACTCCGGAGGCTGAGGCAGGGGGATCACTGTGAGTTCGAGGCCAGCCGGGGCTACATAGTGAGACCCTGTCTCCAAAAATAAATAAATAAATAAATAAATAAATAAAATAAACCTAAAGGGAGCAGGGGAGGATGTGGCATTTCCCATTAAGGGGACAACCAGGCAAGGGCTGCTCTCAGCGTAGGTGGCGGGTACAGGGTGGAAGACAGTTCCAAAGCCCTCAGTCCCTCAGACCAGCTCGCAGGAGCCCGGAACCCGCGGGGTAAGTGCTCAGGGGTTAATTCCTGTGAGCACGAGGCCAAGGAGACTTGAAAGAAAGGAAGTAGGGAGGGTGAGAAGGGTGGAGGGGGAGGCCCTGGGCCCGCTGGTTCTGGGGCATGAGGCTGAGCTTGGGGTACGCGGGGGTCTCCAACTTCCGTCCTGACCCAGCTCGCACTGCCCTTGACCTCCGAGCAGTTTCCATCCTCTCTCTCGAGTTCACACTTCTGCCCCACCGCTAACCGCAGCCCACGCAGAGGCTTGTGGGCGGGGAGAGAGGGCGGGGTGGGCGGAAAAGGGCCAGGCCGCAGCGGCAAGCCCCCCGAGCCCCCCGTGTCCGGGAGAAAGAGGCCTGTGGTACCGTCCCCTCGTCACTGCCTCCCCGGGCCTAGCTTCTCACCGGGGCCCTCCCTAAAGAGCCCCTCCCTCCTGGGCCCAGGTCCCCCTCCCGGGACCCCCCAGGCCTTGCCCCCTCAAAAGGCGCCCCTCTCCACTCCCCCGCCCCGGTCACGCCCTCAGAAAGTCCCCTCAAGAGGGGAGGGGCTGTGGGCTGCCTAGCTCTGGGGTCCTCACCTCCCGAGTGGGTGGGCTTCGCCCCTCCTGCCTCATCACTTGCTTTGGCCCCTGAGTGATCCTCAGCAAAGGGACACTGGCACCCAGGGGCTGGGAAACCCAGCGCTGGTGCGTGGACAGCACCAGGGGCAGGACTCAGGGGCGCAATCAGTGCAATGAGGTGACTGATGCAAGGGTTCCCCAAGTCAACAGGCTGCCCCAGGGTCCCAGCTGAGACCAGCGGGCGGCACCTTTCATGCGCATACACTGGCCTCAGAGCTGTGTCCTCTCTGCTTCTCCCACACCCTGCATGGCACTCCGGGAAACCCCGTGTGTCAAAGCCCTACCAGCCTTGGGGCAGCGGCTGGGGAAGGCACAGGGAGGCCGGGAAGGGGAGAGGGACACAGGGACAGGGAGCCCAGAGGGCACATGTGACTGAGGCTTCCTAGGGTGGGAGGATAAGAGGGAGTCCTCAGGAAGAGCCTGTTACCAAAAGGATCTGGGTTTATAAGAAAATAAAACTACGGGGGAGGGAGGACTTCCTGACAACTCCCGCACTCTGAGGCCGCTGCAGGCGGGCACTGAGATTTGCCTCAGCCCGAGAGACCCGTCCAGCCTGGGGGGAGAGAGATGTGGCCTCTGTGGGTCCCCAAGGGCTGGGTGCGGGGCCTTGGCGGGAGGGAGAGGCTGCTGAGAGAAGCCACGTGGGCCACTGGGTCCCCAAGCACGGGCCACACAGTCCCATAGCCCCCAGCACACAGCCTTCAAGGGGACCCAGCACCCCTCCACTGACCCTGCCGGGGCCCTCCCATCACTTCTGGGGTGAGCTGGCACTCCTGAGCTGTGGCAAAGTGTGCGCCCCGGCTCTGAACAGCCGGGCAGGGCAGATCCTCTCTGCAAAGGGTACCCGTGCCCTAGCAGAGGGGTCCCACCCAGCAGGCCCACAAACTGAGTTCTCACCCAGCTATCACAGCTCCACCCAGGCCCTCACCCCACAGTGGGGCGGGAGGCGAGGGGGTCTGGGTGGCCAGAAGCCGGGAGAAAGATGAGGGGCCGCCTGCTGGGAAGGAGCCCGGGGTCCTGCGCTGAGCACGCTGTGATGGGGTGAGGCTCTGCCCTTCAGGCCTCAGTCCCCCTCCGGTGAATGCAGACCCCCCGGAGTGTGTGCGCCCCTCGCCCCTTCACAGGGTAAGGACTTGGGCGGAAGGAGGTTGGGCTCTTTTCTCAGAAATTCGGAGAGGATGAGTTCGGGTGCGGGGCCCCCAGGTCACCTCCCCTCCCCTCCTGCTGCCCCTCTTTCCTGCAGGATTCCGAGGCGCATCCCAGTCCCTATGCCACTGCTGTGTGACCCAAGGGAGCCCCTCCTGCTTCCAAGCCTCGGGTTCCTCCCTTCTGAGATGACAAACAAGGCCCAACAAATCCTGAACGAGGCCACCTCCCTTGTCCTCACGAGGAGGGGACAGTAAACCCAACTGCCTGAGCCTTGCTCCTGGTACAGAAAGTGGAGCCCCAGAGGGGCCCCCAAAGCTCACCAGAGGACACAGACTGCAGTGGCAAAGCCACCGAGCAAACCTCGAAACACCTCAGGAGAGGCGGGCACAGTCCCAGAGGAAGATCCTTCCTTCCTGGGACAGAAGCAGTCACAAGCCCCCGAGACACCACCCCCTTGAGGCCTGGGAAGAGAGGTCACAAAAATAATGCAGACTGCTGGCCATCGTGGTACACACTTATAATCCCAGCACTCGGGAGGCTGAGGCAGGAGGATCACCCCAAATTCAAGGCCAGCCTGGGCTACACAGTGAGACTCTTCTCAAAAAACAAAACCAAATAATGTGGAGATACAAAAGCAAACCTAAGGGAGACATTGGATACGACCCTCTGGCCCCGTTAAGAGGGGGCCAGGGTGGCGGTGCACACCTGTCATCACAGCACTTTGGAGGCTGGGATGACCGAGTTCAAGGCCAGCCTGGGCTACACACTGAGACCCTGTCTCAAAAAAAATACAAAAGAAACAGGAAAAGAGGTCAAGGGGCCAGGGTTACAGGTGTGACTTACTGATCGTCGCCAAGTCTCTTCACCCAGGCCACGTCCCGCTCTGACTGGTTGGAGGCCAGGTCCTACGGGGAGGAGGGAGAGGTGAGTCCTCTCCACCACGGGCGCAACCCGGACTCCGAGGGCCGCTGCGCGCCGCGGTACCTGTGCCCGCGTCTCCTGCAGCTGCTTCAGCTCCCCCTGCAGCCGCTCGCACTCGGCCTGCAGCTGCTCCTCGCGGAGCTGAGCCCCCCGCGCCTCCCCCTGGGCCGCCTCCAGCGCCTCCTCCAGCCGCCGCAGCTCCAGCTCGCTCACACTCGGCGCGGGACCTGGCCAGGCCGCTGTGGGGCAGGACAACGTGAGCGGGCCGGGTGGGGGCCGCAGCACGGAGAGGGGGGCGCGGAGGGGAAGGGCGGGCTGCCTGCTGGAGGCTTCAGTAAGCCATCCAGGGCCGCCGGGAGTCTAAAGCATCCTCGGGCCTCTCCTAATCACAGCCCGAGACGCCCCGCACGCTGGGTGGGGGCGCCCTCTGCTGGCAGCACACCCGAGAACTGCAACGTGCTGGCCAGACACTGCTGGGAACGGCCTCGGTGGAGAGGGACGTCGGTGGGGGCATTAGGGTGAGTGGTTGAGGTTTGGGAACTGGGATCGAGTGATTATGGGAAACGTTTAAGATATGACAGTGGGGTCTTAGGTGAGCAAGAAGTGTCCCATGGCGTTGCCATGGGGGTCAGGCTTGGGGACCCGGCATGGGGAAGTCGGTCGCTGAGATCTCACCGTGACCCACGGCGGAACCCCCTCTCAGAGCCAGGTAGTGCAGGTCCAGGTCGGTGCAGGGCGGGGCGGGGGCTGGCGGGGGGCTCAGGCTGGGGAAGGCTGCATCCCGGAGGCCTTGCTGCTGCCGCAACTGCTGCTCCAAGCCACAGATCTGCCGCAGGTGGGTCTCCACCAGGGCTCGCTGCGGGAGGAGGCCCAGGGCTGAGTCTGCATGGGGCCGGGGAGCCCCTGCAGGCTCCCAGAGCCAGGAATCCCCACGTCTGCACAGTTGTCACCCTCCACACACCCCACGCTCCCACTCCCAGCAGCCCTGGGTTCGACGCCACCTCTCCCAGTCACTGCAATGCAGACCATAGTAAAGCACAGCGCCCTTACACCAAGGCCCCATACCCTCCCGCAGCTCAGCCAGGCTGTTGGCTTTCCTCCGCTTTTCAGAGATGGGATGGAAGCTAAGTGACTTGACCAGGGTCACAGCTCAGAGTTGGCAGAGACCACGTCTCCCCATCCTGGTGCTGGCCCACTGTTCCCACGTGTGGCCGAGTGAGAAGCCGACTCACGCACCTGCCGAGACCCACCCCACTGCAGCAGCCACGGACACTGCTGGCGGCCTCTGCCCCACCCCCAGCACCTCCCAGGCAGGTAGAGGGACACACACTCGCTCGCTCAGTGTCTCCGGTGCAGTCGCCCGCTGCCAGGGTGACACACACAGCACCAACTGCAAGACCAAGTGGGCACTCGAGGGGACACGTGCACACAAGTGGCGTGCACACAGCAAGTGGGGTGTGACAGGTGGGGTCCCGAGGTTGGAGGGCCGACATGCGGAACACATGGGTGCAGGACACCAAGGGGCCTGGCAGCCCTCCTGGCCCCTCACCATCTCCCCCAGCTCTGTCTCTAGGTCACTCTTCTCCACGCAGAGCTTCTCGTAAGCCTGGATCATCTCCCCCAGCTGTTCTTCCTGCTCCTTGTTCTTCTGCAACTGTGTGGGCCGAGACGGGCACCCCGGGGTCACACCCATCCTGCCCGGCCACCCTGCTCCCAGCACCCTGTGGAGGGGCAGGATGAGCTGATCCTGGCATGGTGGCCACCTCAGATCAGTGGGCCACAGAGGCAGAAGCTGGGGGGTGAGGCTAGGGTCCCAGCCATGGGCTGCAGCGGGAGCTGGGTGTTCCAGGGCTCACCTCGTGCTGGAACTGGTTGAGCCTCTGCTGCAGGTTGACCTTCTCCACCTCCAGCAGGGAGCCATCCTTGATTTCGTACAGAGAGAAGCCATGCTCCTCTCCGAAGTCACTGATTAGCGGGTACTTCAGCGGGACGGGAAAAAGGGAAGGTCTTCAGGAAGGCTGCAGGCAGCTCCCCACCCATGTCCCCCAAGTCCCCAGCTCTGCCTCCACCCTCCAGTAGGACTCACAGCTCCAAAGCTGGTCCCTCCTAAGTGGCTGCTGGGCTCTGATTTTGCCCCAAAGCAGCTGCCCCAGTCCCTCCTCTGGACCTGCGGATACCTGCTGGAACCGCAGTAGTCCCTGCCACCCCACCCCACACACGCACCCCCACAGCCACCCCCAAGTCCTGACCTTGATCTCGTAGACTTTGAGCCGCCGTCGGAGGGTGGCATTCTCCCTCTCCAGGCCCCCCAGTCGCTCCTTAATGTCCCCGTAAGCCGTGATGAGGGCAAAGTGGGAGGCCGAGCACATGTCCTCCCCCATCGAGGGGTCTGCCGGACCATCCAGCCACACTTCACTGGGCCCCAGGGCCTCCTGCGTCAGGATGCTGATGTCATCCTCAAACATGGACTCCATGGTGAGGACCTGGCCCCCCTCGAGCCTCCTGGGAGAGCAGGGACAAGGTGGACAGGGTCACCTGGGCCTTGTCGCCAGACCCCTCATGCTGGCTGCTGGCAGGAACACCCTGAGACGAAGCCTGGAGGCTTCCTGCCCACAGTGCAGTGGAGGAATCCTGCAGCCCCTCTCGGGCAGCTAAGCCCCATTCTCTGGGGCGGGTGGAAGGAGCAGGAGTTAGGGGAAGCCAGGAGGTAGGGGGACAGCTGACAAACAGGGATGAGGAAGTCCAGCCAGCAGCACAAAAGGGAGACCTGTGGACCAACAGGAACTGCCTCCCTCCCTCCTCTGTCCCTTCCCCAAGTACCTGGCCACCAGGCACCCCATCCCAGGCCTCTGGCACCCTGGCTCCTCCCCAAGGAAGGCCCAGTGCTGCTCCTGGAGCCTCGAGGGCCCTGCCCAACATCACACTTCCTCTTGCAGGATCCCAGAGTTCAGGAAAGGGAAGTGCCTTCCCCTGCACCCGGTGGCCACCGGCCAGGCGCGGCCCCTGACCTGGGACCTACAGAAAGTCCTTGGCCGAGTGTCAGACGCAGCAAACTGGGCAAGGGGGCTGGGGAGGAGCCACGCCAAGAAGTCCCCAGCCCGTCGCTGAGTGGCTGCACACTGGGGCGCCCTGGGAGGGGGCAGGGATGACTCAGGGCTCCCGAAAGAGAGTAGGCAGCAGCGAGGGGGTGCGTGTGTACTTCTGGGCCCTGTTTATGAATGTGTCTGAGGCTGGCGTGGGGGGAGTGTGTCTGTGAATGAGTGTAGGTGTGTCACCGTCAATGGGCGCCTTTGCGGGGCGCGGGTGGGGGTCGGTACGGAGTTCGGAAGCGGCCGGGAGGCTGAGTGTGTGCGCGCGTGTGAGCACGCGTGCGTGAGCGTGTAGGCACGCTCGGGCCGCGTGTCACGTGAGGCACTATGGGAATGTCCGAGGTGTGTGCGCTCGCGGAGTGTGTGCGCCCGAGCCAGGGGCTCGGCGGAGGGGCGCCGGGTCCCGGGCCTCGCGGGACCCACCGGGCTCGGCCTCAGGCCCCGGGGTCTTCCCTGCCCCGGCCTCCGCTGAGTGCCAGGGAGGCGCGTGTGGCCGGGTCTGAGTAAGGAGCGCGCGCGTGTGTAGGGCCGGCCCCACCTTTAACCCTGTCCTGCCCGCCCACGTCTCCCCTCCCCCGGCCCGGGCCAAGGGGCTCTCGCCGCACCTCCCGGACCCCCGCCCGCCGCCCAGGCCACCCGCTGGCGGGCTCGGGGCCCCGGGCCGCGCGTCCACGCCGACCCCTCCGTCCTCCTCCCGGCCCGGGGCCCGCGGAGCGAGGCGGCAGGCGGCTGGGGAGGGGATGCCGTCGCCTCGCGCCCCTCCTGCGGCGCCTTTAAGAGCCGCCCTTTAACCCCCTCCAGCTCGGCGGCGGAAAGTGTCGCCCTCCCCTCCCGGAGCCCGGACCTCGCAGCCCCCTTCCCGCGCCCTCCCTCCACGGCCGGGCCGGGGGCTCTGAGGCGGCAGGGCCTGGGCAGCG